GAAGACTATCCGGCGGCCCCAGAACATGCAAATCCGGCAGCCTTTTATGCAGGTCGGGGTCGCAACGGTGGTCGAAACAGTGCAGGAGGACAAAATTCAGGTCGCGGCAACTTCGGGCATCCGAGTCGCGGCAATGGCAGAGGAGGTGGTGGCCGTGGTCGAAACGGCAGAGGGGGTGGCAGTGGACCTCGCTGCCAGATCTGCAGAACACAAGGGCATACCGCCTTTACTGTTTTAAGCGGTATGCTCCGCAACCGAGTCCGCAAGCCAACATGGCAGTCCCGGGCGATGATGCGGCAACTAGCTCTGGCGCCTCGGGTTGGTTTCCAGACACTGGGGCCACGGCACATGCCACACCAGATCCATCATTGATGTCACAATCCGACGAGTATAATGGTGGTGATGTCCTGCGCGTTGGTAATGGCGCAGGTTTGATGATCTCACGAATTGGACATGCTTCTATACCTTCCGCGTCTAATGTTTCTAAATCTCTTAAACTTTCCAATGTGTTATATGTTCCTCAATTAAGTGTTCCGTTGTTATCTGTTTACCGTTTAACAAATGACAATTGTGTCTTCTTTGAGTTTCACAGAGATTGTTTCGTTGTGAAGGATTCGGTCACCCGGGAGGTTCTACTTAAAGGTCCTACGGTTGGCGGGTTGTACAAGCTCCCTATTTCTCAGTCTCACTTTGCGTTTCTTACATCTCGCACCACTCCGGTCGTCTGGCATCGCAGGTTGGGTCATCCCCATGCACATGTCCAGAATCAGGTCCTCAAGTTATGTCCAGTGTCACCAAATAAAACAAAGCCGGCCGAATTATGCTCATCTTGTTAGCTTGGAAAATCTGCTAGATTTCCTATTAATAGAGTTTCTTCTACTAGTACAAATGTGTTAGATTTAATTTTTACGGACATATGGGGTCCGGCACATGTAATCTCTACTAGTGGATGCCGTTACTTTCTGCTTTTTGTAGATGATTTTTTGCGCTTTACGTGGTTTTACCCCTTACGGGTAAAATCCGATATATACAACTGTTTCGAGTCATGGTAGAACGCCAATTTTCGCGTTCTATCAAGTGTGTTCAGTCTGACTTACGCGGGGAATACCGCAAACTCCATCAAGTGTTCAAAAAGTTGAGCATTGTTCATCGCCAGTCTTGTGCGTATACGCATGAACAAAATGGCCGCGTTGAACGCAAAAACCGACACATAGTCGAAACAGGGTTAGCCCTTCTAGCCGAAGGCTGTGTCCCGCCACAATATTGGGACTACGCCTTTGTGACAGCCACAAATTTAATCAACTACCTACCTACTCCCCTCTTGAACTATGAAAGTCCGTACAGTTGCCTATATAAAACCACACCGCCATACACTTTTCTACGAGTCTTCGGGTGTCGGTGTTTTCCCTATCTAAGGCCATATAATCGGCACAAGATGGAATACCGCTCGACACCCTGCGTCTTCCTAGGTTATCCTCCATCCTTTAGGGGTTATAGATGCATGGATCTAATAAGTGGGAAAGTCTATATCTGTCGTCATGTACGTTTTGACGAAACTGTTTTTCCTTTTTCAGAGTTGACTACACAGGAATCAGCTACGTCTATGACTCCTGCTTTACCTTGGGCGTCAAACCCAGTTGTCACACAAACTGGGCCCACACCCGCAGTTGACTTGGGCCGACCCCGGTCTCCGAGTCCAATACCTCTAGCCCAAGAGCCTGCCCCCTTAACTATTGAAGGCCCGGCACGGGTCAAAATTCGGAGAAAAAGGGCTGCACGGACCGAGCCTCAAGATCGAGGTCATACAATGAGGTTACGGCATATGACTCGTGGTACTGGTGAAAGTTTTCAAGCTCTCACTGTGACGGCTGACCCCACTTGTTATTCACAAGCAGTCGGGCACCAAGAGTGGCGAGATGCAATGGACCGGGAGTTCAATGCGTTATTACATAACAATACTTGGACTCTAGTGGCTCCTAAACCGGACATGAATATTATTGGGTGCAAGTGGGTGTTCCGTACCAAACGGACCGCAGATGGCTCCGTGGAACGGTACAAGGCTCGCCTGGTTGCGAAGGGTTAAACCAGGTGGCTGGCGAGGACTTCTTTGACACGTTTAGCCCCGTAGTCAAACCGACTACAGTCAGGATGCTATTCTCTGTAGCTGTCTCACATAACTGGACTCTAAGGCAACTTGACGTCCACAACGCCTTTTTAAATGGGCACTTAGCAGAAACTGTGTATATGAAACAACCACCAGGGTATGAGGACCCGACTCATCCCGATCACGTGTGTCACTTACAGCGGTCTTTGTATGGACTCAAGCAAGCCCCACGGGCGTGGTTCAAAAGATCGCATGATTATTTACTCACTATTGGGTTTTTGGCATCTAAAACCGACGTCTCTCTTTTTCACTACTCAACTGGTGACTCGCGTGTTTACCTGCTGGTGTATGTAGACGATATCATAATGATGGGTAATGACCCTAAGCTCATTGCTTCCCTACTTCAGCGTCTATCCACGACCTTCAAGATACGTGATCTAGGCTCGCCTAGTTTCTTTCTCGGCATTGAGACAATACGCACTGCCGACGGTATTATGTTATCTCAACGCAGGTACATGAATGATCTGTTGACTCGGGCAGGTATGTTGGATTGTAAACCCTTGGTCACACCAGCGTCGGTCACCCAGCCTGTGTCATCTGCTGCTGTTCCGCATGATAATCCGACGCAGTACCGTCGAGTAGTTGGAGCTCTACAGTATTTGACTATTACGAGGCCGGATCTCTCATATTCAGTGAATCGTCTCTGTCAGTTTATGCACACGCCGACTACTGACCATTGGGGCTTTGTTAAAAGGGTCCTACGGTATATCAAGGGTACTCTGGATTATGGTCTTCGCATTACAGTATCCCACTCCGCGGCTATTCATGCCTACTCTGATTCTGATTGGGCAGGTTGTCCTCTTGATAGGAAGAGCACTGGAGGGTATGCGGTGTTCTTGGGTAAAAATTTAATCTCTTGGCTTTCCAGGAAACAGCGTACAGTGGCCCGGTCGTCTACTGAAGCCGAGTACAAGGCCCTTGTCGATGTTGCTGCAGAGGTCACTTGGGTTGTCTCGTTACTCAAGGAGCTTGGTCTACATACCGGTGAGCCACCCACTCTATGGTGTGACAATTTGGGTGCCACCTACCTATGCGCGAACCCAGTTTTCCACGCCAGGACTAAGCATGTTGAAATCGATTATCACTTTGTTCGGGACAAGGTCGCCTCAGGAGACTTAGTGGTTAATTTTGTATCCACCAGGGATCAGCTTGCAGATATATTCACCAAGCCGCTGCCAGGACCTCGGTTTTCAGCTCTTCGGGACAAGCTCAATGTTGTTGCTCATCACCCTTGAGCTTGAGGGGGTGTGTTAGCCAGATTATTATTTTGTCACGTTTTTATATGTTGTTTTTAATATTCTTTAGACTAGACTTAGTCTTATGTGGCTTTCCTATTAGATAGGATTTATTTGCGTAGACTTCATTAGCTATTTGTATTATGTTTCCGATCCTGTTGGAGTTTAATCAGAAATCATTTTATCTCATCAGTCATACTATTGACTCGAATTTTCATTGGTAGTCAATAGGGGTTGACGATTCGGTTCGACTTTTCCGAATCGAACTAAACTAGTTTGGTTCGGTAATATACCGAACTAAGTATGTATCTCTCTTAAATTTTTTATTCAGCTCATAAATTTTTACTTGTATCTCTCTTAAATTTTTTATTCAACTCATATCCTCACTGGTATCTCTTTTAAATGTTTTTATTTGTTAAGTAAAATCCAAGTCTCTTGCCACATACTCCACTGTTTAGCTTATATTCTCACTAGTATTTCTCTTAAATTTTTTATTTGATAAGTAAATTCCCTTGTTGCCTACTCCGCCGTTCAGCTCATATTCTCACTGGTATCTTTCTTAAATTTTTCATTTGATAAGTAAATTCAAGTCTCTTGCTGCGTACTCCGTCATTCAACGCATATTCTCACTGGTATTTCTCTTAAATTTTTATTTGATAAGTAAATCCAACTCCTTTGTTGCCTACTCCGCCATTCAGCTTATATTCTCGCTGATATCTCTCTTAAATTTTTATTTGATTTTTTTATGGCTTGTTCTCTACTTTTCAGTTTTGTTGTTTGCTGCAATTGTTCTTTGCCTCACAAGTATCTCTAACTTGAGTTATTCTTACGATATTCGTTGTTTTCTTTAGTTTCATGTTTCTATGAAATTAATATGCTTCAACATCATTCTAATTTTGATTTCTAATACTTGAAAATATTTTTCAGTATTGAAAAGCATAATATTTCCAGTACACTGGAAAATAATATTCCAGTATACTGGAAATATATTTTGCCAAGCAATGACAGATTGTGTCCAAAAATTAAATATACAATATGACACTTGTTCTCTAAATATTAACTATACAAATGGATTATTCTTCATCTTGTCAACAAAATATTACAAGTGAGCCAACTGAAGAGTCGATTAGGGAAAAAAGTGAACTGATATTTAGTAATTTAGTACTTAGTAGGGTGTTCGAACTTTGAAATGCTATTTTATTATATAATGTTTAAACTTTAAATATGAACTATATGAATATGTATTGTTTGGTAGTGTGTTTGGAAAATTAGAAAATATTAAAAATTTAGGTTCCTAAACCGAACCAAATACCGAACCAAAATCAAGCTTTTTCAAACAGAACTAAACTATAATGTTAAATCGAATAGTATCATTTTTTTTTTTTAAATACTGAAATACTGATACCAAAACCGAAACCCAAAAAAAAATGAACTGAATCACATTAGTAGCCAATTTGAGACACATTAGTCTGTTTCTCTTGCCAAACAAGGAGTTCACCTTCTCTTGCCTCTTTGTAATTATGCTTAAAGAATCATCACTCGGTGGGGGGGGGGGGGGGGGGGGGGTATCTACTCCTATCAATGATCCTTTATCCATCTCCTTTCAAGCAAAAGAGACTAAAAATCTCAAGAATTAAACTAAAAAATATGTACATAAAGAATCTGTCACTGTTGAAATTAGTGAAAATTCAAATACCCACGTTGATGTAACAAATACTGTTTGTGTTAAAACCAGATCAAGTCATGGAAGAAAATCCATCATATATGCACAGCTACTTCCTTAATCGAATTCCAGGAATATCTTTCAATCCCATCTTTACTGCTGTTTTCCGGAACAGCGAGGGGGGCTTCTCCAAACCAATTGACTCGCTAAATTGGTTGGCCAATGAAACAAGTGTTGTTTTGTCTCTGCCTATTTCCCTGATCGAGTTATAGTATCCGAGCCAAGCATGATACGCCGCCTCTTTCACACTGGCATCGATATTTGCCATAGACTCTTCCATCTGCAGTTATCAATTGACTACTCATTCAAAGGACAAGAGTGCATATGTATCATAGAATGTAATGGTAACCATATTGCATTCAATTATGCTTTTCAGACATGTTCCTAGATAAGGAGACGCATAGGATTCGATCTTTGGTGTTTGAATATGACATATTTGAAGGTGTATAGGACATCTAGTTAAAAAAAAATTGTACAACCAAACGAGGATAATCCACATGCAGCATCCAAGTGTTTCTGGAACTGAATCTCAAGGAACTGAATCCAATTAACTCCGAGTATAGTGGTTTTGCCACGTTTAGTCCTTCTAGTAGGACCGCGGCTGGTTAAATTTCGAAAGTTGAGGGACCATGGGTGGTTAACTTGGACCACGGATGGTAACAATTTGAATGTCGAAGGACCATAGGTGGTCAATTTGAAAGTTTAGGACTAAACGTGGCAAAACCACTATACTCGAGAGGACCCCATGTGGCATTAAGTCCATAGATATACCCAAGTTCTAATAGCATCCAACGGTTGTTGTACAAGTATGAAATGGTGAATAGATAGCAGGCACCATTCAATGTTAATATAGGGGAGAGATGACCATCAGAAAAGGGATAGGTCCATGTCCAGCTTATGACAAATGGTAGCCATGGACCAGGTAGCACAAGGAAAGAATGGTTCAGGCATTAGAAATCCAGTCTATTGCAGTCTTCTTTAACAGATGCATTAGTTTACGTTTCTCTAAATGCTACCCTTTTTCTTTAATGTATTCTTCTTTATTTATTACTTCTTGGCTAGGGAAGAGTGGGGGAGGAGTTGAGGGGCAGAGTTGATCTGTACACAAAACAATGAAATAAAATGTGGTTTGAACAGATAAACGGGAATGAGAATGCGAACCTTTGCTGTAATATTAGGATCTAAATATGGCAAATCACATTTCTGAATTGGGAGGTCCTTCAGTCCATCCAAGAAATATTCCTCCCAAGGTGCAATCAATAGGATGCCTTCTCCATCTTTGCCTTGACGCCCTGTTCTTCCAAGTCGATGTATATATTGCTCCCTATCCACCGGAATCCCTACCTGATGTATCAGAATGTCAATATCACACACCCACTCAAAAACTGTTTGGTTGTGCATATAATTTCCATTGATTATAGCATTTGGTCCTATTCAGTCTACATTCAATAGCTCATTAGCATCTGAACATTTCGAAGCAAGAAACAGGTCATAATTAGCAATGTAGAGGGCAAAGTGTGTGATCCAGATGAAGAATCTTGCAGATAGCAGTTCCTAGCTGGCACTTTTTATTGGACATATTTTAGATGAACAAGTTATATTACTTCAAATTCAATTATAGGCATTAATCACAAGCTTAAAGGCCTGTCATACCTGAATAACCAATGTGACATCTGGATAATTCATTCCACGGGCTGAAACATCAGATGTTATGAGAATTACACCTTTCATTTCCTTGAATTCATCAGAGATTCGAGTCCGATAAAGTTGAGGTTTTCTAGAATGTATCTCTCTGACATTCATTTTCATCTCTCGATATAGAGAAAACATGAGAGATGTCATCATTGCTGTTGTACAAAAAACAATGATCTGAAAGGAAGGCAGAGAACAGTAATGATAGTAAAATAATACTCCGTAATACCCAGCAACAAGGAAAACTGACAAAAAATACAGGAATAGAATTTAAAGTTTGAATATAATTAAACATCTTACCTTGTAATCAGGCACTTCTGAGATATGACCCCTCAAAAGCTGGTGCACTATTTGAAAATGTTGTTCATGTGGTGCAACAAGATAAAATTGCTTAACCTGTTCAACAAGCCAAAAATGTAAATGAGAAATTGCTTAAATATGGCCCCACAATTTAATGAAGAGAAAGAGAAAACTCGTATTGTACTCAAAGTTCGTAGTAGAAATGATAATTTACACATTTCTCCAAAAAAAAAAACCAAATTTGTATAAAGAAAAATACTTGGCAACATCACCAAAGTCGAAATGAATAATCTTTCACCATTTACCATACCTTTTCATTAGTCTCCAAACCAAGCCCCACAATATCAATATATGCATGTTCTCTTTTCAGTACAAGTTGAGATATTCTGCGAACCTGCAAACCCATAATGAAGATTTAGAACCTGAAGTCCACAAGTTCTACAACTAGCAGAAATGTCCACCGCACATCTAACCTCCTTTGGAATCGTAGCTGAAAAGAGTAAAGATTGCCGTTGTCGAGGCAAGCAATCAACAATCTTTTCCATGTCTTTACGGAACCCAAGGTCTAGTAAGTGGTCTGCTTCATCGACTATAAGCATCCTCAATCCCATCAACCGCGTAGAGAATCCAGACTTATTCTCAATGTGGTCCAGCAATCTACCTGGTGTTGCCACTATAATCTACAAAAGTTACAATGAAGTTGCAAGAAACAGTTAAATATCGAACTTTATAGGAATAACACTACAAAAGATGCAAAGATATTCAATTTTTCAAATGTCCTTTTATTGGTGTAAATATGCTGCACAATGAAAGACCTAGCTTTTGGCATATATACATTATAGTATTATACTTCGTTTAAATATAGCCTGCCCACAATTTGACACACTATTAGACTATTAGTTTCCTTTCTGCATTGACCCAAGGGAACTAGATTTCACAAGGACCACCTTGTTTTTGCTTCTTCAAGAGATATAAGGCCTCCTCCAAATTACTCTACCTCAGCCAGAACTCTTCAAGATAACTTGATATGAACCCATCCATACCCACGCTAAGTTAACAGATACTCGAGAAAACCTAAAATTTTACTATAAAGTAGGATTAATTACCTGGGATGGATCTGACTCCAAACGTTTTTGATCCACCTTGAAGCGCGTTCCTCCAACCAGTGTTTGCACCCCAATGCCATCGTGGTACTTCAACAACACATTTGTTTCTGCAGCTATCTGACTAGCAAGTTCTCGTGTAGGGCACAATATTAGCACATATATTGGCGGGACCCTTTCAACTGTCCTGCTCCTTATTGGTTTCAGAACTGTTTCAATAGCAGGAATCTGTTTGTGCTTAACAAAAGCAGTGAAAGGAAAAAACTGAAAGATATCAAACTATAATCTATAATAGAGAATAAAAGTATACCAAAAAAGCAGCACTTTTCCCAGTGCCAGTCCTCGCTTTGACTAGAGCATCCCTTCCTGTTCAATGGCAAATGAAATAAGAATAGAAGAATATAGGCTATTCAGAACCAACAAGAAATGTAAATCCTTTGGAGTTCAGGATTGACATTCTCTTTACTCTGTCAAAGTTGAACAAGAATTCCATTTCAGTTTAGCACTTTTAACCCTATACATTTTTGGAAACAGTACTAAAACACATAAACCCACAAGACTGCAATTAATAATATCAAATGAACTAGCTCCAAGTTCTCCACATTATAAATGCCAAACAAAAGAATATGCACCCTCAAGGCCTCAACCAAGTTATTTTGCTTAATACTGCAGTTAAAGTAAAGACATACCTTCAAGGGCAGCAGAAAGAGTAGCCTCTTGCACCCTAGTCATTTGCATGTATCCTGCTGTAGTAAGTGCCTTCACTGTCAATGGGGATATCTCGCATTCATCAAACCTAACAGAGTCAACCCATGTATTAAGATTTATCATAGAGTTGTGCATGCCAATTTCAATCTTAACACATCAAAAGTTTGAAACTGTGTTATTCTCAAACATACCCTATACCTTTTTAAACTAAGAATAGATTCCTCCTCTTCTTCCCCTCCACTTTTCTCCAATCTCCTTTGATTCACCTCCTTCCGAATTTCCTCCACGTGCTGTGATAAATCATACTCATCTTCTACAAGCTGCAATGGTATTCGCTTTTTTATCTTCATATCATACATCCCCAAAGCAGCACTACTCATTCTCTTAACATTAGCCACACTTCCCTCCCCCGCCTCATCATCAGACTCATCGTCATCGTCATCAGATGAATCAATCACATTTGATGTAATCCTCGGCCACTTTGTTCTTCTTCCTCTTGATCCCAATGCATCCCGCTTTGAATCATCCTCAGTTTTCAAACTCTTATTTCTTGGAAAATCAAACCTCTCCAACTTATTCATTCTCTTTGCATCAAAAGAATAGCATCTAGATGTCAAAAAACTATGCCAAATTGTAATATTCCCTCCTTTAAAATCACCAATTCTTTGTGCAAAAATGGGAAAATGCCTTTCTCTTGACCAAGTAGGCAAATTTTCCAAACTTACATTTTCTCCATGACCTGCAAAATTAAGTCCCCTCACAGAACTCCTGGTGTCACTCGAGAAACGTCTAAAGTTTGAGAAACCACTCAAACTCCCAGAAGTCTGGCCAGAATTTGAATTTTCCGAAATTAATCTCCGTAAATTAATAGGCTCACCAACCACCCTGCGGCGCGGCTCCGGTGCAGGAGCCTGGATAGGGCCATCATCTTCATTCCACAAATCTTCAGCACCTTCCTTCATAAACCTATCAGCGAGGGCTTTGATTTGTTCTTGGGGGGTCATCGGGGCATAACTGGGCTGATTAGGATCAGACGGCGGGTTTTGGGCGACGGCGGCGCTAGCTTGTTGGGGAGGTGGGGAGAGTTTAGCCCGAATTTGAGATCGGATTCGGGCTTGGTAAAGCTGCTTCTCATGCTCAAGGAGTCTTCTTTCCTTGTCCCGTGCTTTCTTCTCGTGGAGGCGTTTCCATTGCCACTTGTTGAGCCCACCGGGAAACGTCCGCGGACCACCTCCCATGGCACGGACGAAGGTGAGGCAGTGGTCCACACAACGGAAGTCTCTGCAACCTCTCTTCAGTCGAATAAGCGTAGAGAAATGCATCCTCCCTGGGAATTTTTTGGAGAAGTGAAGCTGCTACACCACAAATCACAGCAATGCAAGGGTTTAGGGTTTAAGGAAACAGATATGACAGGTCTGATAGTATTATATCTAGAGTTAATTCCAGCAAAGGTCCTCCGACTATCATGATTTTCCACATTTAGTCCTCATCTTTTAATTTGGACAGAAAAGACACTCGACTATTAAAATCTTTCCATCAAAGGTCCTTCCGTCACCTTCTGTTACATTCGCCTCAATTTAACGTTAATTTAAAGGGTATATCTGTCCTTTCAAAACATGTGTGTCTTCTTTCCTCATTATACGACTATATATGGTGCACGTTATCCTTCTTTCTTCCTTAAACTGACCACCACCGCGTTTAAAACCATCACCGCCAGTGGCTTCTAATTTCGTGCTTCCGTCCTCCACGCACACGCACAGACCACTGCTTCCCCTTCCCAAACGTAACCAACATCTCCTACAACCACCTAAAGCAACATTCAGCTCCTCGCCTAGAACTTTCGGCAGGCCGATGAGGAGATCGACCCACTGCTTTCTCATTACTCTGGCCGGCAATGGAGGTGGTTGAAGAAGCTGGACACAGAGATCGAGTAATACAATTACCGATCGTTTCCCGACGAGTTGACCTGAGAGATTCCCAACGGGGTGTCAGACGGTCACCTACCGTTGATGAATGCTTAGACAGGAACCCAATTGTTCAATAGTATCTGAATCGCCTGCTTTTGAGGGAGAAGAAGAAGATGAAGAAAATGAGACGGAAAATGGGAATAATAGCATTAGTACAGGTGAAGAGAAGAGTCAGGAGTTGAAGAATATAACATCAATGTTTAAAGTGGAATAATGTGGGACACAGGACACTCATATATTCAACTAAAGCTATATTCTGGTTTAAACACAATGGGTAAGAAATGAAGCACGTTAAAGATGAGTTGGTAAAATTTTATCTTATTTAAAACCATTATTCTCCATTTTTATTCCATACATTGTTATAAAAAACATGTGAAAGTTATATCAGGAGGCCGGTATTTGACTGGCAATCAAGGTATAGGCATAGCTTCCTATTGCATAAAAATTTAACAAAGAAAGAATACAATTCAAAAGTTAATTTAATAGTTCTATTTTCGTTCATATTTAAATATAAAATTATTCACCAAAATTTCAAAGTCAATTCATTAAAGTTTTATTTTCAATTATATTACAATTAAGACCAATCTATGAATTCAAAAAAAAAAAAAAATATATATATATATATATATATATATATATATATATATATATATATATATATATATATATATATATATATATATATATCAAGTATAAAAAACAATAGATTATATCTATAATATTTTTTAAAAAAATTGGGCCCCCAAAAATTGGGGGCCCTGTGCGGTCGCGCCGGTCCGACATGGCCTAGAACGGCCCTGCGCGGTGTGGTGTGGTGTTCAGAATGGTGCGGTATAGTGTGTAGGGGTTAAGGACGGTATGATAGGGGCCGGGGTTGGTAATCGACCCTTCCGGCTAGCGCATGACTAACAAGGTTAGCTATATGTTGGTAATCGACCCTTCCGGCATGCATGGGACACGTGGAGAATGGATATGAAAGAGTAGTTGATCGATGCCGTACAGTTAGCTATATCCCATTTCTTTTGCCGTGATCTTATCTTTTAATATAATTGGGCCACAAGCTGTCTGGGTAATAAACCTCCGGGTAATAAAAAGCAAATTATGCTGTGCAACCATGAATATAGTTATTTAATTTAGAAAAAAATGAAAACTTATTATAAAATAAAAATAAAACTTTCGTTATTTTGTTTATTATACTAGATATATACGTTATTCTTTAAATGAAAACAAAGTCAAAATAATTTTGACTTTTCGATATATATTAGTTATGAGTTAATACCTCCAATGGTCCTCTATGTTTTAAAAAATAACCATCTGTGGTCCTTTTAGGACGTCTCGTGGTCAGAGTTTTTTTAAAAATTAGGACCACGAGTGGTTATTTTTTAAAACATGGAGGACCATTATATTAAAGGTCATTTAAAACTTAGATGATCACAGCTGGTAAATCGCTAATACTCGGAGGACCATTGGAGGTATTAACTCTATTAGTTATATATGTTACGGAGTATTTTTAAAATTTTGATTTTCAAGACTTGCACAATTTGCAAAAAATTTCCCTCTCTTTCAAATAAAATAATTCCCTCTTTGTAAATTTTGACTTTATTTTGTTATTGACACTTAAGTGCAAAAGAAGAAATTTAAAACACAAAACAAAACACAAAATCAATTAAACCTAAGACTAAAAATATAAATTATTAAAATCTAAAAGATTAAAACTAGGGTTCTATTCTTCCACACAATTAAAAACAAACTAGGGTTCTACTATACACTGTTCTCCGATCACACCAAGACATATTGTTACCAACCGGATAACTTTTCACCGATCGGTCAGCTTGGTCGCAGCCGCAGCCCACCAACCGCCGAGCGCTGAGCGCTCGCCGCCCAGGGCCCACCACTCCGCCCCGTGCCCACCGCCGTGCACTCGCCGCCCGCTTGCCGCCCACCACCTACCGTCTGTCACAGCTCCAGGCTTTCGGTAAGTTCACAGCTCTTTTTTTTTTTTTTTTTTTGTTTATATAATAATTTGGAAACTCTTGAATTGGAAGCTTGAATTGATGATTTGATGAATTTGTGAGTTTTATCAATATGGGGATTTGAAGCTTTTATTTCACTGTTGCAGTTTTGTTTTGTTGCTCATTCTGTGCTGTTTGCTCGGCCTTTTGTCGTGCTAAACTCTATTCCAAACTGGTTAAATTGGGGATAAGAGTTATTCCATGTTGGTTGAGTTTGTTTGTGTTTTTTTTTTTTTCATGAAATTTGAGTTGTTGAGTGTGGTATTAATTGAAGAGATACTCTTTTTCCTACCTGTTTGCTGTCCTTTTCCATGCTTGAGTTGAACTCATCAAGTATGCCTGTTATGGAATGGAGTGTTAAATTTGTAAATATTTGGCACTCCTATGTATTACATTACCACTCTTATAATAATCTAAATAAGATTTGAATTTATGACTTGCATGTTTAGAATCGTTGTCTTGATTTTAATGTCATTCTCAATTATATTTATAAATTGTTGAGGAACATGATTTCCCTGTTACATCTATCATTCCCAGGTTGAAAGTTGAATCTGTAAAAAGGCACTATTTGGTTCTTTATTGTAATCTTTTACTGTTTCAAATATGTTTTAATTTGATCAGTATTATACAGACATAGGCTATCCTTTTAAGCCTTAAATTTCTGAAATCTAATGTAGAAATATTTCACCATCCCATATCTGCATTATTGATAGCCCAGAGATGCAAATATTCTAGCTGGTGAGTTTCTTTTTCCTATCATCTTTCCATCTAGCCTGGGAAGTGGTTTCCCTGCTAAGAATGAACTGAACATTACAAGTGACCTCTCAGGCTGTGTAAATGGAGCTTCATGGGCAGCACCCCTTATTGTTGCTAATGACAGAAGCTCTCCATACCCTTGTGTCCATCCAGCAACCTGAAAATCATTATAATGTTGGACTTCATAACTTGTTTTGTGGTTCATTCAGAAATAATACAGATTAATATGAGATCTCTTATGTTGAGTCTCGAACTTATGACATGGATAGGCTAAAGCCCTTTGGTAGAATTCTTACTTCTTAGTTTGGCATTTATGTATTTAGGTTGTTCCCAACCTTATGGGCAGGAATTTAACAAAAGAAGACTAATGAAGAAGATTAAGAAAAAGATGAAACATAATCTTCACAAAGGATGTTGTTTATTTGTGGGACCCTCTTAGTCATAGCATTCGCGATGATGATTGGAAACATGTTGTAGAAATGTAAGTTTTTTTTTTCATTTCTTTCGATTTATATCGGTATGATTATTACATAATCTGAATAATCAACAATATATTTGAAGAGCTATTCAAATGGTCCATGCGGCCTCTGGGAATGGAAAGAAAGGACGAAGTAAAACTGCTTGGGAAATTGTCAAGGTAATTTAATATTTTTAACTAATTAGATATAAGTGTTTGTATATGTATATCTAGATAAATTCTAATGCACATGCAAATCTTATTTAACATTTGTAGGCTCCCCGTCAACCGGATAGCAAACAATGCGGTTTCTATGTCATGGCTTACTTGAAAACTTTAACTGAGAACATGCCGGACATTGATGATAAAGATTCTGTTCAAGCACGGGTAGTAATTCCATTTCTATTTTTGTGTTTAAAATTATTCTGATTTGAATGTTTCAAAGTGGAAATATGATGCATTTGAGTTTCTTGGAAATATGATGCATACCTATTTCGTGTTGAGTTTCTTGACTTTCTTCAGATATACAAATTATTTGTTTTTTTTTTTCTTGATTTGATTATAGATTGTGCTTGAGGACACATCTGATTTTCTAATGAGTTATTAAGTCTTCATTGGGTGTTGTTCTGTACAGTCTTAGTTGCATACTTTGCCCACTTTTTTTGTTTCTTTGCTTCAATTCTATAGCATGAAAATTCCAGTATAAAGACTATGTTAGTTTGACAATTATCCAATAATCCAGAAGAAGGTAGGCTAGAGTCACTTTAAATGACATTGAGTACAAATTACTTGCAAATGATCATGGCAACACCCTCCATGGTATGTATGCTCTTTTTCTTTCTTCCAATTCTACAGATGTGTATATCAAATTTTTTTGTGCTTTCCATGTGGATTGAAAATTTCTCCTTTTTTACTTTATTTTCTTGTGTGCTTTGGTGAAGGATTTGGAAGCTAAACTGCTGTTGCAGATATCATATATTGGCTCTGTTGAAACGAGCCAAAGTTTTTTATTGTTGATGTCTATTGAATGAATGCTTTTTAGATTTTAATTTGATACTTTTATTCACAAAGTTTAAAGTGGAGAGATCAGCGAAAAGACAAAAGCTCTTGCCTTTAGAACTGCTAAAACTCTATTATCATATAGTGGTTCTTGCAAATTACTCCTAACTTATTTCGAATTTCATTGCAAATTTATTATATCTATACTAATTTATTTACTCACTTTTTACATGTAGTTCAAACAAGTTGATTATAACAAAGCGGTTATTGATCTGGTGTGTTCTGAATGAGCCGATATTCTATCAAGTTATATAGAGTAGGTATGATTTGATCATTAGAACGTTGTGATCATTTAGACTTCGTGGAATTATTTTTTGTAGTATTATGACTTAGATGATATATGATTCGATGAGAATGACAATTTAGAATTGTTATTTTGAACCTTAGCTTGTGCAAAATTATGTAACTACACTTGGCCATGGTGAATGGATAAATTGATTTTTTGTATATGATTAAAATTAAAACAGGTTAAAAAACGTTGAGACAACGGTTTATGGGCATCACTTTTAACAACATTGAATAGACAACAGGTCAAAAACCGTTGTCTTTGAAAGAAACGACAACGGTTTTAAACTGTTGTCTATGTTCGTGACTTTTAACAACACCGGTTTCAATAACACTTAATAGACAACGGTTAAAAAACTGTTGTCGTTTCTAGAAAAGACAACGGTTACTAACCGTTGTCTATGTGCGTGACATACAACAACACCGGCTTCAGCAACACTTAATAGACAATGGTTAAAAAACCGTTGTTGTTTCTAGAAAAGACAACGGTTATTAACCGTTGTCTATGTGTGTGACTTACAACAACACCGGCTTCAACAACACTTAATAGACAACGGTTAAAAAACCGTTGTTGTTTCTAAAAAAGACAACGGTTATTAACCGTTGTCTATGTGCGTGACTTACAACAACACCGGCTTCAACAACACTTAATAGACAACGGTTAAAAAATCGTTGTTGTTTCTAGAAAAGACAATGGTTATTAACCGTTGTCTATGTGCGTGACATACAACAACACCGGCTTCAACAACACTTAATAGACAACGGTTAAAAAATCGTTGTTGTTTTTACAAAAGACAACGGTTATTAACCGTTGTCTATGTGCGTGGCTTACAACAACACCGGCTTCAACAACACTTAATAGACAACGGTTAAAAAACCGTTGTTGTTTCTAGAAAAGACAACGGTTGAAAAACCGTTGTCTATGCGCGGGACTTACAACAACAAACCGGCTTCAACAACAGAAATTATACCCCTATAACAACGGTTAATAACCGTTGTCTATGTGCATTTTTCTTGTAGTGTTTATTTACAAAACACATAATATATTAATGCAGATATTGAATATCATTTTGAACGAGGGTCTATAATGCAAAGTGGATCATGATCCACGCTATAATTTGCCTAATAGAGGGGATCATCCATATTAGCTAGTAGCATCATCTATAGAGTCCGATAAATTAAAACAATCATAGAGACTAGCAATCATTATACAGTGGACCATAGTCCAAAACGATGTCATTTTTTAATGAAAATAAACGGCAATTGTTACGTTATGTGGCGCACTCAAATTTTTTATTTTAGTGATGCTGTAATGAAATTACAATGTGTATGAAATGAAACTGAATAACATGTCTCATATATTGTGTGTATATTGTCGAATAAAACTGTAGATGAAACTATAGTTGAATTATAATGATACCTTAGTGGTGCTGTAATGAAGTTACAGTGTCTATAAAATGAAATTGAATAGCATGTCTCAAATATTAAGTGTATATTGTCAAATGAAATCGTAATTGACTAAAAAAGGATATTTTAGTGGTGCTGTAATGAAACTATAGTTTGTATAAAATGAAATTGAATATCAGATCTTACATATTAAGTGTATATTGACATATGAAACTGTATTTGAATAAGAATTATATTTTAGTGGTGCCGTAACGAAACTACATTGTGTATAAAATAAAACTGAATAGCAAGTCTCGAAACTACATTGTGTATAAATAAACTGAATAGCAAGTCTAACATATTGAGTATATATTGTTAAACGAAATTGTAGTTGAATTAAAATGATAATTTGTGATTTTACAATGAAACTACATTATGTATTAAATGAATAACGAGAGAGGTTGATACATGAATTATAACATAATTTGTTGTCTACCATTATTAACGAAAAAACTTCAAACGTCATCATTTTTCTATCTGGTCCAAAGTAAAATTTGCCAGAAGCATCATAGATGTCTACTCTCATAGAGATTTAAAGACAAATCTACAACTATCTCTTCTCGTTTAAATATGTAGAAGAAACTACCACTTTCACTTTTTTCATAGTCAATAAAGAAGCATCCAATCCTTGTCATTTCTTTTAAAAGGCCTCCTCAATCCCTCATCCACCTGGTCAAGGTTGCTTATTTGATAGGGTTGGAGTTCAACCTTTTGGAAGAAGGTTGCTTCTTTGATGATTATTATTTAATTAAAAAAGTAACCATGTAACATATGATTGTCTCTTTCTTGACAGTAAATAAATATGTCTGTTAATCCTAATAATATGTCATTATATGTTGATTAAAAAATTACTAATAGAATTATTTATTTACTTATTTATTTATTACCTTAGTCTATGCATAATTATTATTGAATCACATATAGAGTTTGAAGATATTAGTTTATGTCTAAATACGGAGTTTGAAATAAAAGACTTTAAAAATCTAAATATTATCTCGACATGCATATCAAGTATCTCCTTGAAGGAATGTTACACACCAGTTAGCCTACTTGAAAAATATTTTATATGTATAAGTATCATGTACTTGTCATACTAACGGTTGTCCAATCTCTTGAGGTATATAAGAAACCGTTTAGACTCGAAGAGGATAATGAGGATACTTTAAAACCAAAGTTCATTACTTCATTGTCGTAGGAGCACTATTTTAGGACCGAAAATTCCATAATTGTATCAAACATGATATTGTATTCGCGATGAAATTGCTAGCAACATTTAGCGCTCATCTTACAATGAAATATTTGGATAGTGCTTAAGATATCATACGATATCTTCAAGATACAAAGACTTGACATTTATCTGAGAAACCAAGATATGACTTTTGATATGCTACTTTGGTACTGGCTATTTTGTTTGATCCCATGATGTCAAGTTTCAAACTAGTTATACTATGAATTAACCTCAATGTCCTAAATGAGAACAATAATGTTTGTATTGCACAAATGATAAATGGGTATATTGAAAAATATTTGACAAAACATATATAGCGTCAAAATTCAACCCACGTGAGCTCTAGAAGAGTCACAATATTAATATATAGAATGTTCACTCTAGTGACAATCTTGAAGATTGTACTATATCCATTTTCTACACTTAGAACAATGTTTTTATTATACTAGGACATGTAGGCATTGAAGATTATTATCTTTAGGAGGAGTGATATTGTACTTTAATCAATCTGAAGATTGGGTTCTGAAAACCAACAATTGTACTCTTTTTCCTTTGATTAATTTTTTATGTTATTTTCTTAATTAAAGGTTTTTTAACGAGGCAGCTAGTGCAACACATGAATGCATACATATCATGTATTGTTTTCCTCAACTAGGTTCTTTTCACTAGGTCTTTCTAGTGAGATTTTTAACGGGGCATGACTATGATATAGTAATATATATCCAAGGGGGAGTGCTGTCAATAAATATATGTGAACATTACTGTAAGTATTATATATATACTAGATAGTACATCTTCATCCTTTGTAGTATTGTAGTTATACTAGTACTCTGTATATCTTTTATATATTATACTAAAGGATGATTAATAAAAGATGATGATTTTTCATGTATTTCTTTTCTTTACTTCACTATAGTCCTATTATCTTCCAGCAATCCAGATGATACAACAGTTCACGCAAGGATATATCTAGTTTCACAAGAAATTTTACATTTAGTTTTTGTTCAATTATCTTATTAGACAAACTATAAAAATTTAATGACCTATTCGACGTGTTTTTTTATCAAAACAAATATATTAATAATTTAAGAAAACTTAGAGCCCATTTTACCTATGTGGGCTCTAACATTGTGAGATTTTGTTCAATGCAGTTCACACACAAAGGAAAAAAAAAAAAAAATCAGGCATTATCTCATATTCTCATTCCTCAAAATGTTGGCAAATTTTACTGTGGACCATGATCCATATAGTAATGTGGTCTATAAAGTAAGTATTATTCTAATTACACTTTAGTTTCATTTAATAATATTGTTCTGGTTTTCAGTTATATTTTCCACACACACTATTTTTATTATAATAATATATACTAAAGTATTATTTTAATTATACTACAGTTTCATTTGACAATATACATTGTTGTATGAGTTCTATTTTGTAGTTTCATTTTCCATACACTAGTTTAATTATATAATGTTAAAGTATCATTTTAATTACACTTCACGTTCATTTGACAATATATGTTATTATATAACTCTGAATTTTAGTTTCATTAATTTTCCACACAACTAGTTTCATTTTAACAACATTAAAGTATCACTATAATTATACTACAGTTTCATTTGACAATATACATTTGTTGAATAAGCTCTATTTTTTTAATTTCATTTTAACAACACTAAAATATCATTTTAATTCTACTACAATTTTATTTGACAATCATGATCTACATAACACTATAGACCATGACCCACTGTATAACAATTGCAACATTTTGTTCATTAAATTTGAAGTTTCCTAGAAATAAAAGAATATACGTACTACAACCCTCCCCCACCCCACCCCCAAAATAAAAATTTTTAAAAAAATAAAAAATAAAACCTTTAATGAAACACATTCCAATGATATTTACATATAACTATTACCCACATATAAAATATCCCTCATGTTCATCAGTTCATGACCGCCCATTAGTGAGTAAGAACTGAATTTGTAATTCTAAAAAGGATAATTAATTCAAAGCCCAGCCAGTATTATATTATTTGAACAAAACAAATGTGAACACAAAAATAGTGCATGTGAAAGACCCAAACTATACGATCTCGGCAAATTATGCCGTGCAACCGGGTGCATGGTGCACACGATGTAAAAACTCCGTCGTTTGACGTTCGACTTTAAAAAAAAAAAAATCGATTATCGTTAACAGCGTTATGCTGTGCATAATTTGAATTATATAATCCAGTTATTGGTACTCTATTTTGGCTTATGGCAGTTTCGTCTGTATATTTCAAAATTAATGAACTATAAATTCAGAATTAATGAACTATATATAGGGATGTTAGCGAACAGAGCTTTCGGCAAACTACTCGTGTTCGTGTTCGGTAAACGTTTGTTTATGTTCATTTGTTAAGGTAAACGAACATTAACAAACAAAATTTAGAGCTCGGTTAATAAACGAACAGAGCTTGAACAGTTTTAAGCTCGTTTGCTAAGAGATCGTGAACAAGCTCGTTTGTGTTCGTTTACTAATGTTCGTGAACAAGCTCGTTTATGTTTGTTTAATAATGTTCGTGAACAAGCTCGTTTGTATTCGTTTAATAATATTCGCGAACATGTTCACAAACATATTATATTATATTAGTTTTGTAGTTGTGTTGTTTATTTGATTATTGTTCGTGAACGTATAATGTTTATTGTTCACGAACGAATTGTGATCATGAATATGTGCATGTGTTTGTTTATTAAGTGTTCATGAACGTAAATGAATATGTTCGTGAACGTACTTGTTAATGAACATGTTTGTGAACGTGTTTGTTAACGTTAACGAACACGTTTGCGAACGTCTTCACGAACACATTCGCGAACATGTTCGTTAACGTTAACGAACACGTTCGTGAACGTCTTCGCGAACGTTAACGAACACTAACAAACGCTTAACAAACGAACACGAACAGGATTTTCAAAAACCTTAACAAATGAACACGAACACTCCAAATTCCTTAACAAACGAACACGAACAACCTCCGTTCGTTTATGTTCAGTTCGTTAACAGCCCTAACTATATATCTAGAATTAATGAACTATATATCCAGAATTAGTAAACTATGTACCTAGAATTAATGAACTATATATTCAGAATTAGTGAATTATATATCCAGAATTAATTAATTATATATCCACATAAATCTCGTCAATTAGAATTTTTTTTTTTTAAATAATTGGTTGATGGAGTTAAACTGTACCACTAGAGTTAAACAGTGCCACTAACGGCACTGTTACTCCACCACAGTGAAACAACATTGTTGACAACCATGTGCACCATGCATGGTGCACAACATAACAATTGTTGCAATTTCTATTACATAAAGAATTTACACTCCCAAAATGAAATGGGTTCAAAATCCTTAAACTAGACTTGGTGGGGTGTGCCAAGCCAAGGCAATAGTACAACACCAAGGCAACACTCAATGGCCCAGACAGCAAGTTGCCTTAATGGACCTTTCCCCTAAAAAAAAATGAGTTAATATCATGTGAGCTAATCACTCACGTATTAGATATTAAACTGATAAAAACAGATACTACACTTGATCTTAGCCAAAAGGCTGAGAAAGGTACGCCTTACAAAGTCCACAGCCCCCTTCTTTTATAACCTCACATACCCATCGACTCCCTTCTACCAAACCAATGTGGGAAAACAACATAGCTGCTAAATAGTCATTCTTATACTTCACAGCTTCTTCAATGCCAACAGCTCCTCTACTAATCTCCTCATACATTCCTACCCATTCCCATCCCCTCAAGTTTATCTCCCTCCCTGGAAATAAAGCTTTTGGTTAACATCAAAATATTCGATATATTATTTAATTTAAAAAAAAAAAAAACATGTAACATATATTTTTTTTTTTTTAAAATAAACATGTAACATATGATTGTCTCTTTCTTGGCAATAAATGGATGTGTTTATTCAAATATAATTAAAATAATTTTTTTTTATCCTTGACACAACAATGATGTGTAAGTCATTCAACAATGCAATTGGTTCCTACTAAAAACAATAGATTAAAAAAAATATTAATATTACACATGTTTGTGTTCCGTTGTATCTAATTATACAAATCATGAAAATTCATTGATCTATTCAACGTCCATTTATATATATATATATATATATATATATATATATATATATATATATATATAGGGGGAATCGCACTTTTGGTCCCTCAATTAATGTCAATTCTGCAATGTCATCCCTAATTCTCAATTTGGACATAATTGGTCCCTCAATTATTCGTCCACTAAGCAGTTTTGGTCCTTCTGTGACTATGGCCGTTTGACACCGTTTAAATCAAGGGTAAGGGTGGAATTTCACACATCATTGGTTTTACTTAATCGTTCTCAGCCCGTTCCTCCGCCATTCTCAGCCATTTCCGCCACCACACATGAAGAACCCTAACCTCCGCCATTGACACCTTTCCACCACTTCGAATAGAATACACTATTAAGGACGCCATTCGCAATGTCTTCAAGCACTATCGGGTCAACACAATGGATGCCAGAAGTGCGATGTTGGTGCGGCGAGGTTGCTCCGGTAAAGATGTCATGGAGTACTGCGAATCCAGGGAAGAGATATAGAGCTTGTCCACATTATGGAGTAAGTTTACAAAACCATTATAATTAAATACCGGCCAGAAAAGTTACAAAATTTCAGTTAATTTGTGTTTGTTTGTTACACTTCCCATCAGGGCAACGGCAATTGTTGGTATTTTGAGTGGATTGACAACGATGTCTCCGAGCGTGTTTCCAGAGTCATTAGAGGGCTATTGAAAAGGTTGGATAAGAAGGAGATGGAAATCCAAGAGTTACAAACACTTATTGAAAAAGAAAATGGTGCGATGAAGAAGATGAAGTTGGAGTCTAAATTTTCATTTTTTTATGGGTTTGCACTTGGTATTGCAGTTGCCCTTGTTTGTGTGGGAATTGGGATGGAAACTAGTGAACAAAGTCCCAAGCTTTTCCAGTTGAAGTAGTATTTAGAAATTAGTGGTACTATGTAAGAATTGTTTTGAGGTTCAATTCCAGATTTGGTTGAGTTTAATGCTAAGCAGTTTTATGTAAGGAAATGAAACTTTTTTTTAGTTGAATGGCAAGTATATTTTTATATTGAGATGAATATTAAGTATATTTGAATGGCAAGGGATTGTAACCAATTGTTAAGACCCAAAGCCACTGTCTAATTCTTAAATACAAACTGGAAAACTGCACACCAAAGTAGTAAAAAGTGTCTACTGGGAAAGTGCCTAACTGGCAACCAATTGTTAAGGCCAGACTGAACTAAATCTACTGACTAAAGGCCAAAGTATACAACAAAATAAACTGCCAAAGAGTAGACAAAAGTAATTCATTAACATGTTAAATTGAACCACCCTGTCAGATCAAAAGATCAAAGTTTACAAAAGATCAAAGTTTACCAAAAGATCAAAGATTACATAAGTAACCACTTCTACCAAAATAGACCAAAATAGACCAAAATGCATCAAAAGTTTCATAGTTTCATATTACTACAAAAATACACCAAAGTTCACATTCAGTTTTGTTTCTTCATTTGAGTAGCTTTTTTTTTCCTTGCCTCTCTCTGGACTGCATTAGCTTGTTGCAGGCTTGAGACTGTTACAAATTTTTTCCCTGCTCTTGTGATGACAGTTGGAGTAGCACTTCCACTTGGCTGTTGCTTCTTGAGGCAAAAATTGTCCAGTTGCATATGTCATTGTGTCTACACACAACCCTCACTCTACTGCTTTCATTCTTTTTAAAGTGGATATCTTTTCTCCTAGTTGCCTCATAATATTTAACAGCACATTTAAACTCATCTGATGTTTTGAAAATCATTCCAATCTCAAACTTAAAGCCTTCTTTTTTCAAGTTCCTTTCTTCAAAAACATTCTGTACACCACTGTCTCCCCCATCAGAATCTTCAGAATTCTCTAAACTCTTAAACACCTCTTCAGACAATTGGCACTCTACTTCTTGTACTTCACCCCCTTCCAGTCCAACAGCAGGATTGACCTGCTTAGAACTAGCCCCAGTGTCCATAAGATTAGGGTCTTCCTCACCTTGATCTTCACCTCCAACCGCATCCTCATTTTCAGAACTCTGGTTTATTCCATCATAGAGTAGGCAATCATCTCCCAATTCTCTAGATATGTCTACCTCGTAATCCCATTGGTCATCAAATAAATGTTCAACAAATATTTCTACCTCCTTGTTGAGTGGAACCTCTTCAACTAAACTAACTATGTCTGCATCATTCAGTAGAGGCTTAAGATCAGTTTTTGTTGGCTTCTTCCTACCCTTACCCTTAACCTTAACCAGAGCCCAAAATTGCACCTTTTTATCAGCATACCTCAATTGTTTCACCATTCTCCTTAAATCTAGTATACTGCCCTCATCACAGTTGAAATGGTCAAAGAACTCAACTCCACCATCCCTATAACCAACAGTTGGATGCCATACTAAATCCTCACCAATATGGAGTTTTATGCTAAAGACAGAGGATTCTTCACCAACATCTATACAATGCAGTAAAACAATTAATTGCAGTGAAAATGGTCTACTTCATAGGTCCCAACAACACAGAATAAATGTAGGCACTTTTAGATGCACTTTGGGAAACTAACACAAAATACATATATTCAATTCCAGGCAAGTAAAAATGGTCCCCATATGCTTTCCCCTTTTTCGCTTTTTCTATTACAGTACATGTGTTCCCTTGGTCCCCACCAAACATTAACATAGAACACAACAAAATGCACATGTTAACATCAATAGTAAGACAAAATACATTGCCCAGTTAAATGTGCGAACAACAAAACAAACAAGCAGTTAGAATTAAAAAAAATTAGGGTTGAAAACTTACAAGTAGGAGTGCTGTTTAACCCATTAATTCTCCTACTAGTCATTGTGGATGGCGTCCTTAATAGCGTATTCTATTCGAAGTGGTGGAAAGGTGTCAATGGCGGAGGTTAGGGTTCTTCATGTGTGGTGGCGGAAATGGCTGAGAATGGCGGAGGAACGGGCTGAGAATGATTAAGTAAAACCAATGATGTGTGAAATTCCATCCTTACCCTTGATTTAAACGGTGTCAAACGGTCATAGTCACAGAAGGACCAAAACTGCTTAGTGGACGAATAATTGAGGGACCAATTATGTCCAAATTGGGAATTAGGGATGACATTGCAGAATTGACATTAATTGAGGGACCAAAAGTGCGATTCCCCCTATATATATATATATATATATATATATATATATATATATATATATATATATATATATATATATATATATATATATATATATAGACACACACACACACACACACACACACACACACACACACACACACGACTAGAGATCAGATGTGAAGGATGTCTTACGTGAAAAATTGAGTTAAATCTCAATCATTGATTTCGTCCAGATCTAGTGTCCAGAATGAAGAATTTTTTTTTTATTTTTTTTTAATGCGATGACATTATGGTAATTTAGTGTAAGTTCAGTTTTTTTTTTTCTTTGGATGCATTATTTTTCTTCGTTGGGTGCATATTGTTCATTTCTTGAGTGCATATTGTTCATTCTTCGAGTACATGATTTATCTTCTAGTGATTATTTACTTTTTTTTTTTTGGGTGCATTATTTTCCTTCTTTAGGCGCATATTGGGGTTGACAAATGGCTAATAGCTGATTGAATTAGATGATAATTAATAGATGATTATGTTAGTTGGTTTAACCAACTGATTGTATTAGCGGGTTATAAAAAAAAAAGTTTGGTAAATTAGCTGATTACTATTAGCTTATTACATGTAAAATGATATTTAAGGGTATGAGTGTATTGTGTTATTTTAAGTTTTAAATATAACAAAATATATAAACTCTTATTGATAAATGATTATAAAATTTAGGCAGAAGTGTCAAATAGGGCCATCTAATACTGCGAAGTGTTCAATTCCCACCATGAACTAAATTAAAGTCTAATCAGCCACACTTACCAGCTAAATTTGTTTGATTGGCTTTTTTTTTTTTTTTTTTTTTTTTGCAGGTTGCTAACTGGTTGCCTATTCAATTATTTAAAAAATATATATATAAAAATAAAAAGGAATTTCAGCCACCGGCTGTCTAGCGAGGATAGCAGGTGGCTGCGTATTTCTCAGACAGTCGTGGCTGTTCGACGAGGACAGCCGGACAACCACGGTTGTCAAACATGAGGTCCAGATCTGCTTCGCCGATTTTCGAAACAAATCCACTACCTAGTTCCCACTACCGCCGTGCCGGAAAAGGAATAAGAGGAAACCCACGCCGGAGAGGAAGATCACAGGTCCGCCGCTGCCCACCGCCGGAAAAAGGTCAACTGGCAGAGTTGCTGATCCTCTCGATCTTTTGCCGACCAGCTCTACTCATTGAGAAACAGAGGACGCCAAACTGCTACTGGGTCTCGCAGAAAACCGACGCCACTATCAGCTATGTTGCGCCGCTGCTGGAGGATAAAAGGGGAGACGGAGGAGCTGCTGGTCTGCCTGTCGCTGCTGTTGCTACGCCGGAGGCAGAGGGGCAGCTGCTCACCAACTCTGCTGCTGCTGGTCTGCCGTTGAGTGACGATGGGCAACATGAAATTCCTTTTTTTTTTTTTAATAATTGAATAGGCAACCGGTTAGCAACCTGTAAAAAAAAAAAAAAAAAAAAAAAAAAAAAAAAAAAAAAAAAAAAAAAACCAATCGAACAAATTTAGCTAGTAAGTGTGACTTATTAGACTTTAATTTAGTTCGTGGTGGGAATTAAGCACTTCGCAGTAGTAAATGAGCCTATTTGACACTTCTGCCTAAAATTTAAATCAACATCTATACTTTGAGTGAATGGTTTATCTTCTAGTAAATATTTACTTTTGTCTTTGACTGCATTATTTTTCTTCGTTGGGTGCATATTATTCCTTCTTCGAGTACTAGTTCTTTTACGCGCTTTGCGCGAATGGAATAATGCCCAATGATTATTTTTAAATAAGTATTTTAAAGTATATCAACGTAATATTATATCGGAGATGTTTATGCATAGGTAAATAAATATTGAATTTGTTTATTTAAATCGGTAATTTAAAGTATATAAATGCAATATAATATATGGGAGATTAATTTTATTGTCACTAAAATAAATGTTTGCAACTTTGTAATAACGCTAGTCTAAATATTTAGTCTAAACACGGTAGTCTAAATAAATACTACTTTTGGTTTAAATTTTTCTAAATCTCTTTTGGGTAGCATAGTCATTGTATTCATCTTCAGTACATGTCCTCTTATTGGTAGTGTGTCATGTGCAATTGGGTTGCTGGTGGTAGCATAGATGGATTCATCGTGCAATGAGATGATGGTGTAGAAAACTTTAGATTTGCCTTCAACTGAACATGAACCATAGAGGCGAGACCGGTGCTCACTGCGCACAAGGAGACCCCCCTCACTTTGAGAGGTTGCTACCACACTGTCGCTAGTGAGACTCGATCCCTGGTCATTCTTCCAAAGTTTTTCTCCTACATGTTGCTCCTCACATGTTTCATGCGTTGTGAGATGTGTGTCGTAGGTTATCATGTGAAAGTATTAAACAAAATATTACTATTTATTATATTTGTATAAAATATTTGGTAAATAAATATATATAACATACTTTGTATTATAACTTTGATATTTAATTACAAGATAATGTAAAAAGAAGACAACGGACAATGTAGTGAATATAATAAATTAATAAATTTGAAGGTAATGAATCTTTGAATTGTAGAAAATAAAGATAATATAACTAATGAAATTATCTCTTTTTTTAAATATTTTATAATGAATAATTTTTTTTAAATAAAGGAATTATAGACATCTAATTCTAAATTAATTAAATGCATATGTATTATTTTTTTGTTGTAGCTACTACTTTATTTAATTCAATAAGAGTAATAAAGTGGCGTACATACTTTCCATCAACAATAATGAAATCATTG